TGTGTGATTTGCTAGCTGAATAGAATCAACTGCGTTATATCCAGATAAGGGAATATCACACAGCTCTAGAAAAGGAGCCAGCAGCACATGAAAACACTATGGAAACCTTTTAAATGGATATGACTCATTGGAAGAAGTTAGTTGGAAATGATTCTAGTTCTAGAACATTGTAGAAAATGAGGAACTATAGAGGCAGGAAAGCTGAATGGCTGTTGGGCTGGGTGGGCCAAGGAGGGGTCAAGAGGAGCATGGGGCATGGGGATCTTTATGGATAACAAGGACATAAAGGGTTTTATATAGACAGGCACTTTGCTCTTTGAGCTCACTCTTGCTATAAACCTATGCATGCTGTCTAATTAGCAGCACATTTTTGGGAAGTGTCATGGACACAGTAGATTCCTTCAAGGAAATGGGTTTTGACGGGGAGGAGGAACAGTCTAGGGAGGGGTGGAATATTACATTACCATTAAAAGAGGGAGGTAGAGTGTGGGAGAGTGTTGGGCTGCCTGCTCCTTCACAGCCATGCGAAGCCTACCAACCTGTCAATCCACCCAGGAGCTGCCATGAGCAAGGCCCACCCTCCAGAGCTGAAGAAACTTATGGACAAAAAGTTATCATTGAAGTTAAATGGCAGCAGACATGTCCAAGGAGTACCGCGGGGCTTTGATCTCGTGATGAATCTTATGACCGATGAGTGTGTGGAGATGGCGACTGGTGGGTAGCAGAGTAGCACTGGAATGGTGGTCATACCAGAAACAGTATCATGTTAGAAGCTTTGGATCAAGTTTAAACAATGGCTGTTGGCAGAGAAGTCCATGTTCCCTCCCCAAAGGGCCTGTTTTACTATGACGTAAAATCTGGTTGTGTACATTTTCATATGAAAGTTTTTGCTAAATAAACTTTTGTAATACTCTTAAAAAAGGGGGGGTGGGGGAGGGGAGGTGGAAGCAGTCTCCATTAGCCAGGAAATCTGAGATGTATTGTTAACAACTAATGGGGCTCAGCAGTTAAGAGCACTGGCTGTTCTTACAGAGGACCTGGGTTCAAATCCCAGCACCCACATGGCAGCTAACAACTGTCCATAACTCCAGTTCCAGGGGATCTGACACCCTCTTCTGACCCCCTTGGGCGTTGCATGCATGTGGTGCACATACATACATGCAAACACTCATACACATAAAATAAATCAGCAGGGTGTGGTAACGCACACCTTTAGTCCCAGCACTCAGGAGGCAGAGGCAGGTGGATCTCCATGAGATTCAGGCCAGCCTGCTCTACATAGGGAGTTCCAGGCCAGCTGGGGCTACAGGGAGACCCTGTCTCGCTCATACACATAAAATAAATAGTGTTTTAAAAACAAAGAAGTACAAGGTGTGCAGAGCAGTGGGGTAGCTGCCTATGGTTGCAGCATGGGAAAAGGATATACAGCCTGCAGCCTTCGGCTTGGAATAGCTTTGAGACACCAACCTGTGGGCCTCTGGGGATGGTGGTGGGGCGTGTGTGTGTGCCTGTGTGTGTGTGTGTGCGCGTGTGTGTGACTGGTTCTCAACACCCTTTAAAATCTTTTTCTTGAGTTCTGTAGCCAGAGTCTGTTTTACCTATTGAAAGGGGGAAAAAGTATATTTTAGACATTAAAAAAAAGGCAAAGAGCTTTCGGGGGTTTAAAAAAAGTTTTGTTTTTTTTATTTCAGTGAGGTTTTCAGCCAGGCACAGGCCTCAGCCCCTTAGGTGTGGGCGGAATGTTCTCCTCCTGGAGTCCTGCCCACAACCTGGCTCCCACCTTCCCAGGTTCAGCAAGGGTTCAAAGCCCACTGGGGGATTTTGGAGGTGAGGCGTGGGCTGAGCTGGGGCCTGAGTCTGGGCTGGGGTCAGGCCAGCACAGAGTGAACCCCTTGAGGCTCATTCTGACCACACAGCACTTCTGGGACGCCCCTGAAGGGCCGGGTTGGCTGCTGTGAGGGGCCGTGTAAGCTGGTGATGGGGCCATGCCTGGCTCCAAGGAGCAGAAGCTGGGCAGAATGGCTCTGTGCCTCAGTTTCCCCATAGGCAAAGTTTCTTTGTGTTGAGGGAATGGGGCTTGGGAGGCAGGAGTTGAGTCATCTCAGGAAATGGAAATCTTGCCTGGGTTTTATTTGAACATCAATCTCACTGAGGCCCAGGTTAGCCCTAACTTGTGGCTGGCATGACAGCTGTACAGTGAGTGTCACTGCACCCAGCCTCAGACCCTCTTCTAAGGTCCCACTTACCAGTGCTGGTGTCACCATGGCTGGGTTCTCTGGTGATGGGGATGAACCCAGGGCCTCATACATGCTAGGTGAGCTCTGCCACTGAGCTACACTCTACCCACTAAGTCACTGAGCTACAAGCACTCTAACCACTTAGCTACACTCTACCAAGTCACTGAACTACAAGCACTCTACCCGCTAAGTTACCAAGCTACAAGCACTCTTCCTGAGCTGTACTCTATCCATTGAGCTACTGAGCTATAACCATTCTACTCACTGAGGTACTGAACCACAAGCACTCTACCCAATGAGCTACATTCCCTGGCTTCAGAGAAACATCTCTTGAGCAAGGTGCATGGTGTGGTGAGTGGCCAGTGTCCGCAGACCTCTGTGCACTGTCACCCAAGCCCACTGCACAGACCCTGTGGCCTTTACGTTGATTTATTTAGTGTGCTGTGCGTGTGGTCCTTCCACCATGTGGCAGCAAGCTCCTTCACCCACTGGGTCTCCTCACCAGCCCCTCCACTCAGACTCTGTGCTCCTCTAGGGGGAAGCTCACCTATCCGTGCATTTCACATCTGATGTATTTCACTCCTCCAAACAGGTGGGGACCTCTCAGGTTTTGTTTCCTGATGGAAGGCAGCTCAGACCTGGTGCATGGAGGCTGCCCAGTCAGACCTGTGCTGTGACTCTCCCTGACCTTCCTCTGCCCCACTGTGACCCCCCCCCCAGTTAACAGGGAGACAGTGGGGAGCCCACCCAGACCCACTCAGGACCTGAGCCGCTGCTGGCGTCTGCAGATCCCCCACTGAGTGTTTAGAGGAACTAGGAGTATGTAAAGTGCAGCTACAGCCCAGCCCTGGCGGATACGGGCTGCAGTCCACCACACACATGACGATCGGAGCTAGAAAGCAGGAGGGAGGGGGGGCTCTGGGTGAGGACTGCGGCCACCTGGGCAGGTGATGGGCCACTGGGATTGAAACTGAGGAAGACATGCTTAGGGGCCATGAGAGGGAGAGCCATTCCGGCAGAAGACATGGTTATGATGGTTATGCAAAGGCCCTGGCGGGACAGCATCTGGTGTGTCGGAGTAGAGGGGAGGAAGGATGAGATGGCATGGCAGGGCCCTTGGGCTACAGGGAGGACATGGGCGGAGCCACAAAATTCTGTGGGCAGAAGGAGCCATTTGTCCCTGGGCTGCACCTCAACCTGTCCTGCTGACATTTTCTTCATCCAACACCAGAGGTCACTGAAGCCAACAGGGGCTGGTCACCAGCAGCCAGGGCAACAACATCAAAGTCATGTCCCTACTGGGCCCTTTGTCTCCAGGGTCCCCAGACCACCCTGCAGGGCCCATGCCATCCTGATGGCTTGGCACTGGGCTTCCTTAGTCCCCTCTGCCCTCCATGGAAGGCTGCTGTAACGGTGAGGGTCAGGCAGTCTCTGTCAGGGGCTGAGGTGACGTCAGCCCCTCACTAGCTAGTAAATGTTTATGGCCACAGGGGCCTGGGTTTTGGGGCTCCTTGGAGCCCAGAGAGCATCCAACCCATCCTGCCCCTTTCTGGAGGTCTGAGCTGCAAGCAGGGGGCCTGGCAGGAGGCTCCGGCCCTGGCAGCTGGCCCAGAAGGGGCTGGTGGGTGGTGTGCAGAGCCCAAAGCTGCCTGGAAGAGGGACAGTGGGGGCACTGGCGTTGAATGACCCCTCCTGGGGCCTGGGAAAGACTGAGATGGCTGAGAGGCCAGGCCCCAAATGAGCCCATCTCCAGCTCTCCGGTGATGAAGGTGCTGGTGATGGGGAGGTGACCACTTGTCACGAAGCCTCTGTGGGGACACCCCAAGCAAAAGTAGGAGCAAGGGTGAGACGCAATGGGATGGCACATCCATGGGCACCTGAGGGGAGGAGGCTCCTCCTGCCCACCTGGAACCGTGTTATTGACAGACACAGAACCTACCCTACCCGAAGCTTGGTAGGGCCTGGACTCTGCTCCTCAGCTCCTACAGGGGTGTCTCTATCCTTTCCCGGAGAGGCCCAGGTAGAGGCTCAAGCTCACACGCTAAGCTGTCATGGGACCCCGACACATGAGAGCTGCGGATATGGCCATGGCCATGTCCCTGTCCCACCAGCAGCAGCGGGTGTTGAGTTCCTGGGGCAGGATGCAGGCTGTGATTTATATCCCTGAGGCCTGCTGGAACCTGCCACTTCCTCCTTGGCTGCCAGGAAGCTCAGCCAGGCGGGCAGGGAGTCGCCAGCATTCCCAGGGTCACCTAAATCAGTGGCTGTCAGCTGCTGGGCGAGGATCCTACAGGACAGTGACAGGGCCCTGTGGCCTGCTGGGTCCTGTCCCTCACCCCTCTCTGGGGCTTGTGGTGGCCACAGAACAGGGGTCTCTAAGCCAGGCTAGCCCACCCAGGGCTCTCCGCTCCATGGCCCAGGAACTTGGAGCACCCGTCTTATTTTCTGGGCACTAATGACTTTGGGGGTGGGTGACAGACAGGGCCAGGTTTCCACTCGTAGGTGGCCGACCTCGGGAATGCAGGCCAAGGCCAACCGGCTCCCACCCTGGTTTCCTGCTGGCTCTGGCAGGCAGCTCCCCCTCCGAGGGACCAGCCCTGAGCCCTTGGCCTTGGCATGGTGCATGCCAGGCTGGCAGGCAGGCACGTGTGGCCTTATCTTCCTGGATACCTCTGAGCCCCGGGTGCCCGGCACAGGCCCAAGCCCGTGTTGTTTTATCTGCCTCCCTCGTGGCTGGCGCGTGGCCGTAATCGAGCCCCCGGATGCTGGTAGACAGGGATACACCGTTTATTCACTGCCAAGGATCCACTCATACCCTGGGCTTTGGGAAGAGCTCCCAGCCCTCCAGCTGACCAATCTTCAGGAAGGCAGCAGCCGTACCCATGCTTATGCAGCCCACGGCTGCTGTCCCGTAGCTGTGAGCTGTGGAGAGAGACACCGTCAGGTGTGGGGTACTCCAGCCAGTCCTCAGGGACGGGGCCTGCCAAGCTGGACTTTCTTGGGGAACCCTCCAACAGCTGAGGAGTGGGGGCTTTGGAAACAAAAAACAAGGCCAGTGTACCCCTATAAACCTGTTGGGGGGATCTCATGGGGAGGGCCAAGCACCCCTTTGTCCCATGTTCGGGTCTGAACCAAGGGCTGCTGGGCCTTCCCATGTCCAGAACCCCAGCACCACACACAGTGGGAGGAGGCAGCTGGGCTGGTCTCAGTCAAAGCTGAGCTGTGGATCAAACCCAGACCTCAGCTGGCCCTAACTGGTGAGGCCCTGTCAGTCCAGAGAGTGTATAATGTAGGGAAGGGGCGGGGTGCCTCCCTACAGGGTCCAGGCCTCCACCCACTTGGGTGGGGACAGGCCACAGTCTGTGCTCTGTGACAGGGGTGGTCAGGGCAGAAGGGATCAAAGGGCAAGGGTGGTGAGGTGTTGGGCTGCACCTGCAGGTGTTGGCCTGGACAGCAAAGAGGGTCACCATGCAGACATGTGGGCAAGAGTATCCAAGGTAGAGAGCTCAGGTGTGCAAACGCCCAGGCAGGGCAGAGGACACAGTCATGCAAAGGCCCAGCTAGGGCAGAGGACATGGCTGTGCAAAGGTCCTGGGGCAGGGCCCTGTGTGTGGTGCATGCCTTTGTGGGGGACCTGCAGTAGTTGTGGTTGTTCCAGGGTGTTGAGATGGCAGTGACTTTCCCTGCCTGGTATGGGACAGAGAGGGAGGAGACTGGGGAGATCAGGTAAGGCCCACTCACTTCGGGCTCCCAGGGTCAGGCCTCCTGCACAGCCTCCAAAGAAGTAGTTGAGGGGGTCGTCCGGCTTTTCTCTGACCTGGGCACTGACACACGTTGTGAGGCCAAACATGGCTCCAATGGCAGCTGGGAGGAGGGGTAGAGGGTGGGAAACAGAGTTAGTACTGAGTCAGGTGCCCCCTCCACCATCTTTCTGCACCTCTGGCCAGCCCTACATCTAATCACCTGGAACCCCCACCTAGTAGTTGCCTGTCACCTATGGAGAAAGGCCCATGTCCCTAGAAGCTGGGGAGCTGGTGGCTGCCCCACCCGGCCATTGCTCACCTGCAGTGAACGTGTACCGGCCAATCCTGGCCACTGCTTCCAGAGCGGAGTCCGCAGGGTTGAGTATCACGCTGTAGGCAGAGGCCAGAAGGCCTGTGGTGTGGGGAGAAAGGGAGGATTCAAACCCAGGCCCACTGCTGCCCAGGTGGAGCCCATGTCACCTATGGGGTCTCATACCATCAAGTCTGCAGCTGTCCCAGTGCCCTCTGCTCACAACAAGCTTGGCAGTGGCTGGAGTGTAAGATGCCAGACCCTCCATGAGGTGGCTGTGCCCTCTGCCCCCACATCTGGCTGGCAGTGTCCCTCACACACCCACCCCTCAGAGTTGCTTATGTAACACAGCTGGAGCGCAGGTGGGCACTGCACCCCGAGACCATGCTGGACATGAGACCATGCTGGACACAGCCGTCCTTGGATGGCCAGCTGCCACAGGGACCTCTGGACAGAACAGATACAGATGGGTGACAGGGCCATCACCCACCGTCCTTCAGGCTGAATGGGTTGGCTCTGTGATCTGAAGTGCAAGGTATCCAGAGAGGCAGAGTCACAAGCCTGAGGTGGCCCAGCACTGTGGCCACTCTGCCCCATGCCCATTGTCCAGCCCTGGGGGATATGACACACAGGACCTTCCTTGGTGAGCTTTTGGGGGCCTGCCCTACTAGACTCACTGGGGAAACAGCCAGGTGGTTGAGCACAGCACCTGCAGTGTAGTGTCCCAAATAGACACAGACCCCGGGGACCCCAGCTGGAACTCAAAAGGTGGCAGGGGCAACCAGTCCTGAGTCTGCGCCAGCATCACCACGACAGAGCTGAGTGTGGTGAGGGTGATCCTGCATGTCTTGATGGGGGTTGGGCTGGACACAGGGTTGCACCACCCTTGGAGAAAAGGGACAGCCCTGGGGGACATCAGGAAGTGTGGCTGGGGTCACAGCAGTGACCGCCACTGACCACATGTGACTCAGAGCCAGGGCCACAGGCCTGGGCCTATGGAGCCTGAGTAGACAGGACCCCACTGTCCACAGGCTTCAGACAGAGGCGAGCCCCCAACAGCTGTACTCTGGAGGGACCTGGGGGACCCTCCCAACACACAGGCCTTAGCTGCCAGAGGCACCGACCCCAGCCCCGCCAGGCCACGGACCCTGAGGGGGCAGTGTCACCCTCCCGCCCACTCCCCGTGGGTGACGCTTGCCAGGCAGACCTTACTCACTCAAGTGTCTACTGTACCCCAAGCTGCCCAGTCTTTTTTTATGTGTACACATGTATTGCCTGCATTTAGATAGGGGCACCCGTGTTGTGCAATGCCTGCGGAGGACAGAAGAGGTTGTCGGATCCCTTGGGACTGGAGTTAGGACAGTTGTTAGCTGCCATGTGGGTGCTGGGATTCGAACCCAGGTCTTCTGCAAGAACAACCAGTGTTCTTAATCGCTGAGCCATCTCTCCAGCCCCTAAGCTGTCCAATCTTATGAGAGGCAGGCTGCCAGGGAACACAGGAGTCTGTAGTAAGAAGGGCAGCTCAGGGAAGCCCATGACTCCCCAACGTGGCGGCTGGGTGAGGGGACCGTCCCCCAGCCTCCCAAAGACACCCCCAGGAGCCCATCACTAGCAGGTTCTAGCCCTGCAGGCTCCATGTCCCCAGCGTCCCATAGTGCACAAGCGGCCTCTGCAACCACACAGTGGTCTTGTCCCTGTCTTGACAACCCCCCCCAACCATCTGCCCCTCAGAACCCCTGTGAAGGGGCTGCAGGTGTGGCTGGCTGAATCAAGCCCTGGGTGCCTCCCCAGGGAGGAAAGAAAAAACCCCACCCTGATCCCAAATGCTCAAGGGGGCCCCGTGGCACCCAAAAAGTTGTCAGACACTCCTGACAAGTGTGTCTTATTAAGAATTTTCCAGAGAGATGCCAGATATGGTGGCCCGCATCTTTAACCCCAGCACTCCAGAGGCAGATGGGGCTCTGTGTGATTAAGGCCAGCCTGGGCTACATAGCAAGATGCAGGTTGGTTGGGGCTACAGGGAGATCCTGTCTCAATAAACAAAAAGAATCTTCCAGAAGGGGGGCCAGAAGTGGGAGTGCAGGCCTGTCATCCCAGCACTTTAGAATGAAGCAGGCCAATCAGGAGTTTTAGCGCAGCCTGGCCCACATAGCAAGGGCCAGGCCAGACTGAGTTAGGTGGGGAATTCAAGACTAGGTTGGGTGACCTGTCCAGACCCTGCCTCAAAACAACATCTGGGAAACGGGGTGCACACACATGTCACCCCAGCACTGGGGCGGTGGAGGCATAAGGTTCAGGGCCATCTGCTGCTAGAAGGGGCCTCGCCTGGCCAGCCTAGGCTATGTGAGACCCTGTCTCAAAACTAATCCCTAGAAACCTCGGCCGTCCCTGGTCCCCTGTCCCCCCGACCTTAAAAAACTCCCCACTTTTTAATCCTTTTGCACCCTGATGACATGCGACCGCGACGCCAAAATCTCTCATTGAAAAGTCCCAGAGGGTCCCGCGCTGATGCTCCGCGCACCCCAAAACGCTTAGTCTGTGGTGTCCCACGGCCCCCGAGACCCAGCGCCTCGTGACTTCTGACCCCATCCCCGGCCCGGCTCACCGGCGCCACCGCCAATGGCGGTGCTGGCGTAGGTCTTACGGTGACACTCGGTGCCGTCGGGGATGTCTGTGTACAGACCAAAGAGCCTCTGTGCCATGGCCGCGCGCTGCAGGCCGCGTTCGAAACCCTCAATTCGCCTCCGCGAACTCAAGGGCAGCCGCCCGACAACTCTCGCGAGACTTCTGGTACGGAACAAAGTGAGGCAACAAGCGCGCAACTTTATTGAGAGCCTCGGACACGGACACGCGGTGGTCAGCATGCGTGCGGAGCCGGTAGGGCGTGGAAGCCTCTGAGAGGGTTCCAGAAGAGGGGAAAATGGGTCGTGCGCATGCACGGGGCTGAGTCTGAGCGCTTTCCTGAAGGGAGAAACTGAGGCTGGTCGCTGTAGGGAAGAAAATGCTGCCAGTCCTCAGCTCAGAAGAAAATTCTAGGACGGAATGCTTGTCCACGATTAGATTGACAGATATACAGACCAATCGTGGCGCAGATCTTACAGCGTATGGCAGGATTGATACAGACAAGATTGACAAATGAGACATTCGCAGTGCAAATGTCGCAGCATGAGACGGGAGCTGCAATGATGGGGCGGAGCTTAGCGAAGACATAGCCAATCCTAGAGCCAGAATCCGTACAGGGCGCGGTTATGCATACAAACCGGAATCAGAACCTAGTGCCACTATTTGGGGGCGAGGCCAGGGTGAGAGGCAGGAATAATCGGCAAAAGGACCAATCACAGTCAGGATCCTAACTGGTGGCTGCAAGAGCGCAATCTGCGCGGGTTGCAGAGTGCGCTCGGCTTGGGGGCATGGCCAAGAGAAAAGAGACTTGGCCAATCAGCATCCTGAGAGTTGGTTTGGGGGCGTGGCCAGGCTTGCGGCTTTACCCTGACGGAGACTTGGGCCTAGATGAGAATCAAAGGGGAGCGCAGTCGCCTGCGGGGGGTGCGACTAGGCTTGATTGCCCCGACCTCTGCGCCAATCATGTCCTTAGCTTTGGAGAAGGGCGGAGTTTATTGAGATTTCAACCAATGCTGTGGCAAGAGTCTGTGCAGAACGCGCTGGGGGTGTGGCTGACTATGGATCTGTTAACCAATCATGGAGACTAGGGCGGGACTATGATGCGCTGTACAGCCAATCAAGCGCAGGGGCGGGCCTTCGGGGCGGGCCTTCGGGGCGGGCCCTGCCTGGCGGCGGTCGGAGGCCATGTCTGAGCCTCCCGCGTTGCAGATCCGCTAGGCGAATGCGCACCTGGCGGCAGTGCACCGGCGCGCGGCGGAGCTGGAGACTCGGCTGCTGGCGGCGGAGCGCAAGATGCGCGTGCAGGCCGAGCGCCTGGCCCACCAGGATCAGCAGCTGCGCGCAGCCCTGGACGAACTGAGCCGTGAAAAGGACCGGTGAGGACGCCCCGGAGGCCTGGAGGGGGGGCTGGGGGGAGCCAGGGGGACTTCCCGGAGGAGGAGGGGAGGAGGTGGAGGAGAAGGGGCGGGGGGAAAGGAGCCTGCGAATCCAGAGCAAAACCACCCGAAAACCCGAAACCGCACGTTTAAGGCCACTGCCACGTATCTCAAAAAAAAAAAAAAAAAAAAAAAACCCAAAAACAAAAACTCCAAAAGCAAAAACCCTCCACTACAAACAAATTGAATTAGTCGTCAGTATACAAAGTGGAGAGAGAGATGGCTCAAATGTGTGATAGAAACCAAAATGTGTGATGGAAAAACCAACAGCTGTGGTGGCGCATGCCGGTGCCTGTCACCCCAGTACTTGGGAGGCTGAGGCAGGTGGATCTCTATGAGATCAAGGCCAGCCTGGTCAGCATAGTGGATCTCTATGAGATCAAGGCCAGCCTGGTCAGCATAGTGAGTTCTAGGCCCGCTGGGGCTCCAGGGAGACCCCGTCTTTTTTTAAAAAAAGAAGTGTGTGAGTTTTGTTTTGTTTTTTGAGATAAATTTACTATGTAGCCCATGTTGACCCTGGACTGATCCCCCTGCCTCTTCCTCCTGAGTGTGGTGACAGGCTTGCGTCACAATGCCTTGTTTATGTGGTGCTGGGGATGGACCAATGGCTGTGTGCTTGGGGAGCTCTGCCTGCTAAGCTCCAGCCCCAGCCCTAGGGTCTCTTATAACAACAATAACCACATTGTGGTGGCCCCCTCATCTTGGCCTCCCAAAGGAGTAATCCCTCCTTGTCTGGGTGTGGGGAGGAGGGTTAAGATTTCAATATTGAGGGCTGGAGAGATGGCTCAGCGGTTAAGAGCACTGGCTGCTCTTGCAGAGGACATAGGTTCCATTCCCATCATTCACATGGCAACGAACTGTAACTCCAGTTCCAAGGGATCTGATGCCCTCTTCTGGCCTCTGTAGGCATTGCACACACATGATGCACTTACATGTATGCAGGGAAAACACTCATATACATAAAATAAAAATATAAAAACATGGGACATAGGGAGCCTCAGAAGGTTCTAGAGTAGAGGCAGCCACCCCTCTCACCCTCCAGGACTGTAATTATTCTGGTTTGCCTTGTCACCAGGGAGATTTCGGCTCTTCAGGAGCGGCTGCTGAGCTCTGAGGCAGCCATGCTTAGCCTACAGGCCGCTGTGGACCAGAGGGACCAGTGCATCCAGCAGCTGCAGCCACGGGCTAAGCTCCTCCAGGACATCTGTCGGCGGAGGCAGCCCCTGGCTGCCCTGCTGGCTGCCTTAGAGGAGGCAGAGCACCTGGGGCCCTTGTCTAACAGTGACCTGGGCCAGCCGCTTCCTGATGGGCCTGGCCTACCCATGGCCAACAGCACTGGGGAGGAAGAGGGCCAGGACCACCTCCAGCCTGCCGTGTTTGGAACCACAGTGTGACCTGCACTGGAAGATTCCAGAAGGCCAAGATCTCACTTAGTTTATCCCAGACAAGTTTAAAAAACAAAAAACAAAAAACAAGGGCTGGTACTGGGGTGCTGGCCTAGTGTGCACAAAGCCCTGGGTTCCATCCCCAACACCGAAGCAACCCAGTGTGGGGGTGCAGGCCTGTCTGACCCTGAAGCCTGTGGGATTGTTTTGTTTTGCTTTTTTGTGTGTGACAGGGCCTCATGTAGCCCAGGCTAGCCTTAAACTTACTATGTGGCTGAGGATAACTGAACTCCTGATCCATCCATGACAGGCATATGCCACCAGGCCCTGCCTTCTTTTGGTTCTTGTTTCCATTTCGTTTTTTTTTTTTTTTTTTTCTGAGAGAGGGTTGCACTCTGTAGCCTAGGCTAGCCTAGAACTCACTGTCCTCCCGCTTCAGCCTTCTGGGTGCTGTGACATGCCCAGCTGATTTGAGTTTTTCTCCCATTTTTTTTGTTAACCCCTTTGACCTGATTCTTATGCCTCTGGAACCTCATCCCAGGGATAAAGCCCTTCCCTCTCCTGTGTGCTCTGTTGCCTCTATGTAAGAACACATATTGTTAACCCTCAGGGAAAAACAGGCAGGTTCAGGCAGAACAACCAGGCTGCCCTGCACACATTTGCTCATAGCCATTTCCTTCCTCGTGGTGCCCGCCTTTGTGCTGTTTCCTCTACCTTGAATCCTTTTCCTATTTCCAGTCCTCCCTTGACACTCAGGCTTTGCTTTAATAGCATCTTCCCAGAGAGGCCTTCTCTGACCTAATTCCTCCCATCTGGTCCCTGCCCTCCACTGTGGTAGGGTCTCCCTGTAGTGCCAGTTAGCCTGGAACTTGCTATGTAGACCAGGCTGGCCTCAATCTTACAGAGATCTGCCTGCCTCTGCCTGGGATTAAAGGCAGGCACCACCATTCCCAGCCTTGTTTTTTTGAGGCACCCTCTCACATAGCCTAGACTAGCTTTTGTGATCCTCCTGCCTCAGCCTCTCCAGTGCTGACCTATATGCACCACCATGCCAGGATCCAGTGTTTTCTCTGACTACCTTATTAGTGGGAATTTTGTCTTGGCCTTGTCACCGGTGTCTGACACACCCTGGGACCCTGGAAGCCAGCCAGGGGCCTCTGGCACAAGTAGGCCCAATACCTGGGGATACCTGTTTGGTCAGTTTCCTTTTCATAACCCAAGAGAATCTATTTTGTAAAATCCTGGTTTCTATGCCGTCAAAGGCACTTTATTTCTGTTAGAGGAGCTAGAGGGGTCCCTGTGCCCTCCTGTACCCCACCTGCTCAGTATCTATGGGGTTTGCTGGTCTCCAGTGCAGGAATTCTTTTTAGAGCCACACAGGGGGAAGGCTAGGGCTGTTTGAGCCAGAAAGGACCCCCGGATGTCCACAGCCCTCTGGATGTTAGTGTCAAACGAAAACCTTCAACCCATGGACGGAGGCCCCATTTTGTCCTCCCACTGGGTGACTAGGGTAGAACTGTTTGTACAAGGGGGAAAGGCAACAGGTTGGGTGTCAGAAATAAACCAGATGATTGCTCCAGCTGGCTCTGTCATCCTATCCTGAGAACAGGAGAGGCTGCTCTGTTGTCCGTGGCCCATGCTGGACCACTGGGCCTGTGAGTTTGTCCAGGGAGCTGAGGTCATGCTCCCTAGGTACACACTGGCTCTGACCTTCCATCACCTGCATTGCTTCCTCAGTTGGGGAAACTGAGGCCCAGGGATGTGAAAGGAAACCAGTCTACCAGTACATATCCAAAACCACTTCCAGTTTGGGGGTGAGTTATAATTTTTGTATTTGTTGTTCATAATGTTGGAAAGAAAACTCAAGGGTCTTATTCCACCAGGCAGGTGACACTGAGACACCCCCCCAGGGGGATTCTAGGCTGTCACTCTACCCCTGAACCACGCCCCCTCACTGGGGATTCTAGGCTGTCATTCTACCCTGAGCCACGCCCCCAGCCCCTCACTGGGGAGTCTAGGCTGTCACTCCACCACTGAACCACACCCCCTCACTGGGGATTCTAGGCTGTCATTCTACCCTGAGCCACGCCCCCAGCCCCTCACTGGGGAGTCTAGGCAGGGGCTCTACCCCTGAGCTATAGCCCTAGTCCCACACCTTAATTTTAAGCATCAGAATTGCTAGGGCTCATCAGCAGGCTTGCTTGGCATGGGTTAAGTTCTGGTTTCCATCCCAGCACTGCAAAAGGGAAACAATTAATAGTTGATTACTGCAGCTGGCAGAGCACTTGCCTAGCATGCCAGGGCCCTGGGTTCTACCCCAGCACTGAAAACCAAAAGCAAGGATGTTCCGATTGAAACAGGTGGTCCTTCAGGGCAGCACTTCAGTTTCTCATTAACTGGTCCTGACACTGGCAAAGCCATGGTTAATTTTTGTTTTGAGAGGTCTCCCCGTAGTCACAGCTGGTCTGGCTGGAACTTATGTAGCCCAGGCTGGTCTCGATCGCAGATTTGTCTGGCTCTGCCTCCCAAGTGCTGAGATCAAAGGCATGTCCCACCACACTTGCTTTTGGGACAGGGTCTCATGTAGCCCAGTCTGGCTTAACTCCTGATTCTCCTGCCTCCAGCTCGTTTGCTGGGATGACCAGTGTGCACCAATCCACCATCATGCATGGCTTTTTGTTTTTGAGAGAGGGTCTCACTCTGTAGTACAGCTCGGCCTCAAACTTTGCCATCCGTATCTCAGCCTCGCAAGTATCTGGTGACAGGCCTGTGCCACTGTGCTGGCTTAGCTGCCCCCTCACCCCACAAAGTCCAGAGGGGGACAGCAGTGTATGCCCTGTGTCACACTGGAAATCGAGTCTAGCACCTCCTAGGGATGGACACTGGGTGTGAGGCATGGAGCTGGCCCTTCTAGCCCAGGCCTGACATGAAAGAGTTACAGCTGGTCCCTCCCAGTCTCCAGGGCCACATTACTTAGCAACAGATCCGCCAGACAGGATGCACAGCCCTAGGAGCCTAGCAGAAAGGAACAAGCGGGCCAGGTGACAGGAGGTGCTGCCCTTGGGGAGGGCAGGGTCACCCAGCTCTGTGCTTGGCCATCTGAGCACAGAGCCCCCACTGGGACCTCTGTTCCCTTACAGGTGACTGGAGCCAGAATGGATACTGTGACCACCACCATGGAGAAGCTTCGTGCACAGTGTCTGTCCCGAGGGGCCTCAGGCATCCAGGGTCTGGCCAGGTGAGGGGTCACTGTCACCTTCACCCCTACTGGCTTCCAGCCTGTGTGATCCCAGGCCAATCAAGTCCATCTCCCCCCAGGTTTTTTCGCCGCATGGACAGGGATAGGAGGCAGTCCCTGGATGCGGGGGAGCTGCAGCGGGGCCTGGCCCAGCTGGGCCTGGATGTGGATGAGGTGGAGGCCAAGGCCATGTGTGGACGTTGGGACCGTGATGGCAATGGGACACTGGACCTGGAGGAGTTCCTGCAGGCGCTGCAGGTGAGGCCCCATCCAGTGACCTTGGAGGAAGACAGAGTCAGGGGTGCTGTCCCCAATCACTGTACCCCACTCTGCAGCCCCCCATGTCGCAGGCCTGGGAGGCTGTGATTGCAGCTGCCTTTGCCAAGGTAGATCGGACGGGGGACGGTGTAGTGACTGTGGATGACCTCCGAGGGGCGTATAGTGGCTGGGCCCACCCCAAGGTTCGCAGTGGGGAGTGGACGGAGGACAAGGCCCTCCGCAGCTTCCTTGATACCTTTGATATGTCTGACCAGGACGGGCAGGTGAGTGTTGGCTTTGAACCTCCTCTCTGGGTGGTGTCCCTGGCCTGGGTCCCCCTGACGGCCTGGCTACCCACAGGTCACACTGGCTGAATTCCGGGATTACTACAGTGGCCTCAGTGCCTCAGTGGACACAGATGAGGAGTTCGTGACTATGGTGACCAGCGCATGGCGCCTGTGACTGTGGCAATCCTTGCCTGCATGCAGATGCCTGTAGCTTAGTTCCCTGCCCTGCCTAGCAGAGCCAGGACTGTGCCAGCATGTTCCCTGGGGACATGGGGAGGGAAGATGTGAGGTTAAAGAACCAGCAGGACCAGGTCTGCAGAGCCACCTGGGACAAAGGCTGGCATGGTCACCTAGACAGCAGGGACGAGGGGCCTCCCTGGCCATACCTAGCTCCGCCCTGTGTTGATGGCAAGGGACATTTGTCCAGCTGTGAGGGACAGGATAGGGCAGCTGTCCAGGTGGTGCTCCTTGAGGCCCCAGGTGTGGAGGCGGCCAGCTTTAGTTAAAAGTTTTAATGTAGTTCCCAAATACATTTCTTATGACAATCTTACATAAATGTTCCAAAACACGCGGGTGACGTCTGGATGTACTTGTCACTGGTTGGCTAAGGCTTGAAGCAGAGTGTGACCGATCTGCCACCCAAGATGGAGAACAGGCCACATGGGCGACATGGCCATGGGTGGGCCTTTGTGCCTGTCTCTGGGGAGGCTGGGCCAGGCTTCCTTGGCCTCTCAGAGGCCCCAGATAACAGTCACACCAGGGCGGGTTGGGACAGTGGCCAACAGCGGAAAGCAGGTCTGCACTGGGTACCTGATGACAGTCACAGTCACCCATGTGGTGGAGGCATGGAGGAGGGTTAGGGGACCCTCCTGGGACCTGTCACCTTTGTCCAGACAGGCGTTCCCAGGCGCACGCCCTGGGTGACTGTTGGGGCCCAAAAACTAAGACATCGGGAACCAACAAGAAAGCTCGGCCACAAACCCTGGGAGAGCAGGCAGCAGGGTGCTGAGCCCCAAGTTCAAACTTGCTGCCCAGAGCGGGAGGGATGGGTGGCACCGGGCTGGGTGACCAGGCCAGGTCTGAGAGCCAGCAAAGCTGTGACAAGTGTCAATGTGCCGTGTGGATCGGAGGGAAGGCGGGACGTTCTCTCCACTCATCAATATGATGAGGTCTGTGTCCTGAGCCGTATCCCGGCATCCCCATCTGGTATGGAGAGGACACGGATCCAGCCTGCAGCCACCCCAACAGTAGACAGCACTGCAACGCAGCCTGTGGGGAGGGGCAGGCGGTGGATAGACGACAAAGCAGCGGCCTGGTGTGGTGACTCCGGCCGCTATGTGCTCCCAGGTGTCTGGCTGTCCCCTTCCTCACCTGCACCTATGGGGAGACAGGTTCCTTCAGTCCTGGGCACCTGGCTCTCCAGGGTCCCTCCCACAGGCCTGCGGATGTACTCACTGGCTCCTGCAGCCCCCGTGGGGCCTGGCAGGGTGTCCTCATCGCTGTCCTCCTCCTCATTGGAGCGGGTGGCCCCAGACTCGGGGGCGGGTGCCTTGGTGTCCTGCTCCTGTTCTGCCCGGCTACGCAGCGCCAGGATGCGGTGGTGCAGCGCGGCGTACAGCTGGCCCGTGTCTTTTGAGCTGGCCTGCGGGGCAGTGAGTGAAATGGTGGGTGTCTAGTGCCAGGCTGGGCGGCATCACTCATGAGGGCTGTGATCAGCCATCCTCTCTGATTGGGGGACACTGCTACCATCCCAAGTGCTGGAAGATGCCGAGAAATGAGGTTGGATGCTAAGGTCAGGGTGGGGACCAACACAGGGCAGGAACGGCATGGCTAACCATCAGGAACCCCAGGGAGGCCTGTGCCCACCCACTCCACCTGTCCTCAGGCCACTCGGCCAGTGTGGCTGGCATGGGGACCAGTGCTCACCGAGATCAGAAAGACCTTGATACCCTGGTCCTCGGCATCTGTGGCGGTGATTCGAATGCTCTTCTCGCTAGCCTTGTCCATCTGCATCTGTGCCCACAGCTTCGTGTTCAGGATGAGTCGCAGACTGCCCTGGGTCCGCATCACTGCAGGGAGGAAACTGCTCAGTCCCACCCATCCTGCCCTAGGAAGGCCACCACAGAGGCAGGGGACACAAAAGGCTAGGGGAGCTATTCTGTTCAGAGAAGGGTCTGGCCTGGCTCAGGGGAGGAGGTAGGGTATGCTCTTGCAGTGCCCCAAGATCTGACATGGAGGCTACACCCCCATCCAAGGGCCAAGCCTATGCCCATCCTGTGTGTCAGGAGAGTCCCAGCTCTCTACACCTGGGTCAGGCCTGCAGCGGGCCCCATAGACCTGCACTCAGGTGCAGAGGTTAGGTTTCCCCTCCCCCAAGCCTTCCTCCTTCCCGGTCCCCAGTCCCCCGTCCCCTGTCCCCAGGGCAGGTACCATCTGTGGCACTGGAACAAGTCACAAAGATGTGCTCTGCTTGCTACTTGCCACAGGCTAAACCAAAGCCACACTGAAATTCACTGGAAAAGGCTCCTACGTTACACAGGGACTGTCACTGCAGACATTGCCACAGTCTGTTTTGATGCAGGGTCTCACTGTAGCCCCAGCTGGCCTTGAACTTGGGGCAGTCCCCCTGCCTCAGCTTCCCAACTGTGGGAAACAGGTATGTGCAGCCACGTTTGCTGACACAACTGCTACTTGATCGTGAAGATAATTTAAACACAGCTGAGGACCCGAGTACTGAGCACGGTGGAATGCAAACTGGGGGCTCATGGTGAGGACTTGCATCCCTGCTCCTCAACCACCCCACCCCAGCTCTGGAACCCACATGTCCACAAGGACCTGTGCCTATCTCTGGGAGGTCCCGTTCCTCCTGGCAGCTCACCAAGCCGGGACTGTAATGTGCCGTCATCAGTGGACGCCATGTCGTTGAGTCTGAGCAGTCCCCGGCCACGCTCCACCCACGATTGCGAAGACTTGTCAAAGACGAATAGCTTACACTGCATCTGCAACCAGGAGGACACCGTTGACCTCTGCACCCCATGCAGTGTATCCCACTGCGACTGCAGCCCTTCAAGGTGACGGCTATAGGGGTGCTGCAGTGTCTGACTTCCCCAACTGCACCAGCCAGGTTCACAAGCTGAGACCTTGGGATGCCACAGGCTTGTTAAGTTTCTAACTATACAAGTCATCTATTTAAACGGGTTTTGGTTTTTCAGTAGAGGTAGAATAGAAGAGCCCAGGGTGTCCTGCACCCTAGGCTGTCACTCTACTGCTGCCCCTGCCCCCAGCCCCTTACTGGGTGATCCTAGGCTGTCACTCTACCCTGAGCCACGCCCCCAGCCCCTCACTGGGGATTCTAGGCTGTCACTCTACCCTGAGCCACGCCCCCAGCCCCCCACTGGGGATTCTAGGCTGTCACTCTACTGGAGACACCCTCAGCCCCTCACTGGGGTTCTAGGCAGGGGCTCTACCTCTGCAACACACCCCAGCGCAGAATTTCTATTTTAAAATACGTATTTTCAAAAACTTCCTTTGAAACTACTAATCAAACAGCAAGCAATGCTGCCTTGCTCCCAGTAGTGAAGATGGAACCAAGGACTCAGGGAGTGTGTCCTGGGGACCAAGTGAAGAGACAGGTGGCTGCAGGAAATGTATCTGGTGCTAAGGCAGCCAACGGCTTAGCAGTTCCTAAAGCATTACACCCTGGGTTTCTCCACAGCCCAACAATTTCTCTCCCATGTATCAACAGAGAAGGAAAGCACTTTTCCTTAGTCACAATATTAGCCCAAAGATGTAGCACACTTCCTCCACCCACTCAAGTATTACTCAGCCAGGAAGGGGATCCAGGCTCTGATACCCCAAGGATAGGCTGATCTTGACGGCATAGGGCTCAGTGACAGAATCAGACATGAGGCCCCACTGTGTTAGATAACTTTAGTTGTCAACTTGACACACCTGGGTAGAGGGAATCTCAACTGAACTGCCTCCTTTGGACTGGCCTGTGGCCATGTCTATAGAGCATTTTCTTGGTTGCTGAGTGATGTGGGAGGGCCCAGCCCGCTTGTGGGTGGTGCCCTGGAAAGGTGGTCCTGTGTTGTATAAGAAAGCAGGCTGAGCAAGGGCCAGGGGACCAAACCAGTAAGCAGTGCTCCTCCACGACTGTGCTCCAGCTCCTGCCTTCTGGTTGCTGCCCTGAGTTCCTACCTTGGGCTCCCTCAGTGATGAACTGTAACCCAGGATGTAAGCCACCCTTTCCTCCCCAAGTTGGTTTTGGTGTTTTTTTTTTTTTTAAATGTCTTTCTGAGATGGTCTCCCTATAGCCCCAGCTGGCCTAGAACTCACTATACAGACCTGGAACTCACAGAGATCCACCTGCCTCTGCCTCCCACGTGCTGGGATTAAAGGCATGTGCCACCATGCCTGGCTGCTGGGGTATGGCTCATTGGGTCAGGGCCTCCTTATTTGTGGATGAAAATGTCTCATTTTGGAGTTTTTTTGCAGAGTCTTGTCCAAGCTGGCCTTAACTTGAGGCAATCCTCTTGCTCAGATCCCCATGCCCCCTTGGCACGCTGCCTCACCTGCAGCACATTGCTCTCAGCCTCTTCTCCGGTGATGACCTCCACCTTCTCCAGCAGGCATGTCCAGGCAGTGGCCTTGGTGTATGCAGCAGCCGACTCAGCCAGGGACTCTGTGGGGTAAGCAGGCAGAGCACCGCTGAGGCCAAGGTAGACCCGAGGGTGGGCAGACCTGGGACACCACAGGGAAATCCAGGACCACCACTGTTCTGTTCAGCAGAGGACAGAGACCACAAAGACTTGGGTGCACTTCAGGGCACTGAGCATGGGCCCCACCCTGTGCACTCCTTGTCTCCTGTGGCCATGGCTACTATCCTTCTCAGGCAGGTGCACCATCTTGGGTGTCACCCCCGCCCCCTCGAAGCTCCTGGGTGGCTGTGGGATTGTGCCCTACCTTTCTTGGGGGTGGCCTCCTGGGACGACGATTCAGACCCTGACTCGGGGGGTGCACTTTCCCTGCTGGTGTCCACACTGGCTTCATTCAGCTTGGGGGGACTCTGGGGACACAAAGCATACCGGGAGGATGGTGTGGGGACAGAGCAGGAGCCCCACGGTGATGGCTAGATGCTCTGTGTCTTCGGACTCTGTCCTCAACAACCACTCTTAAGGTCGGGAGCTGAGAGCCACCTGACCCCGGAGCTGGCCCTCAGTGTACTGAGAGGCCACCTGGTGTGGGTGGCTGGCTGGGGCAGTTCTGTGACACCTCCACATGAGACCTTCAGGTGGGAAGGCTGCTGTACACTGCAGCTGTGTCCCCGAGTTCCCCCCTGTCCCCCTCCCCACAAGGGAGGCCCACTTTAGGGTTAGTGGGGAGGAAAGGCAGGAAGAGTTAATGGCTGGATCTAGGCAGCCATCTTGGGCCACTGAAGATAAGAGCTCTTCCCTTTAAGTACAGTCTCTTTTCTCTTCCTCATAAATCAGTGTCCTGATTTTACAGAGAGAACATGGCAGTCACATGCCCTGTGTCCCCTTGAGTGGGAATGGGTGCTCAATAAAATTCTCCAGCTCTGAGAGGAACAGTGCCCCGGGGTCACTCACTAAGACACGCTCGCTCATGTTCTGGCCAAACACAAACTTGTTGCTGGAGGCGTCGGCGCTGTTGCTCAAGTTGTCTGTGCTGGAGAGGAGACGTGCTGTGAGCAAGGCACCATGGGGCACACACAGCCACACGGCACATTCGGGAGGACAGCCAGACACCCGAGAGTGTCTGTGTCCCTCCCTGTCTTCCCAGGCAGGGTTCAGCACCACGGAGCCAAGCAGATGAGCTAGAGGCTTTGGTTCAGACCCAGATCAGGCCCTGGCTGATGGGCACCGCATTGGCCACTCATAGATGCAGGAAGCCACCGAACTGGGACCCACCCCATCAGCTTTGCAGGGTGACGCCACAGGACAGGCCACACCCACAAGGACCAAAGTGGCCTGAGGACCCCCAGGACTGACATCTGCTGGCCAGCACCCACCTGGAGCTGATGTACTGCAAGAAGTAGTTGGTGGCGACGGGTGTTTCCGAGCTGGGTTGTGCAGTGCTGTCCGAGTCCACCAGGTCGGTGTTCTCATTCATTAACTAGGGGGACAGAGGGACAGGAGCTGCTCAGTTGCTTGTCCACACAGCCCTACCCAGGCCTGGGGACACGGGCTGCCACCAGCGTGACTACACAGAGCCAGACGTGGGGGCATAGGCCTGTCATCCCAGCACTCAGGCAGAGGCAGGTAGATCTCTGAGTGATCCAGTCCAGCCTGGTCTACATAGGGAGTTCCAGGTCAGCTAGGGCTACAGGCAGACCCTGCCCCCCCAAAAAGTACATAAAGGGACCATAAAACTTTAGGAAACTCTTTCACACTGTTAGGAAAAGTGCCTGAGGGGTTGGAAAGATGGCTCAGTGGTTAAGAGCACTGGCTGCTCTTGCAAAGGACCCAAGTTCGAATTCCAGGACCCATATGGCAGCTAACAACCGTCTTTAACTCCAGTTCCAGGGGATCCGACGCCCTCTTCTGACTTCCACAGACACTGCAGGACACCGGTGCAATATACATCAGGCAATACACTAATACACATAGAATAAAATAAAGAAAAAAGAAAAAGCTCCTGAGGCTGGCCTCCTGGCACTGCTGGAAGCTTCCATTTGCCTGCATGGTGCTGACCCAGTGCTGTAAGGGAGTGTGGCAAAGCACAGCTCTCCACTGTCCTCATGTCCATGCCGAGTGAGGCCATGAAACCATCACCTGACCAGCCGCAGGGTGCCTGTGATGTGTCATTCCCAAGGACCAATGTGGCAGAAATTTTGAAATACGTTGACCCTGGCTCATGGCCACATTTGATGGGGCTGCAGGGTGACCAGAGCCCACACGAGCCCTCAGCCTCTGAGGACACTGTGAGTCCCTAAGTTTGAAATACAGCGGGCTCTAATATCTTCTGTGGAAAGAGGCACCTGGGGGCCTTGACTGCTTTTCGGTTTTTTTTAATTAATTTTTTGTCCTTTTTGAGACAGGGTCTCCCCATAGCCCCAGCTAGCTTTGAACTTACTCTGTAAAGCAGGCTGGCCTTGAACTCAGAAATCTGCCTGCCTTTACCTCCCAAGTGCTGGGATTAAAGGTGTGCACTAGCACGCCGGGCTTAAATTAATGTATTCTTACTTCAGTGTTTTGCCTGCACATATGCAATGGCACCCATGTGATGCGATACCTGGGGAGGTCAGAAGAGGGCAGCAGATCCCCTGGAACTGGAGTTATAGAGGGTTGTTAGCCACGGTGTGGGTGCTGGGAACCAAATCTGGGTCCTCTACAAAAGCAGCCAGTGCTCTTACCCACTGAGTCAGCTCTCTAGCCCCCTCCTTTTTTTGTCTGTTTGAGACAGGGTCTCCCTAAAGCCCAAGCTGGCCTGTAACTCACAATGTAGCCCAGGCTGGCCCTGATCTCATAGAGATCCACCTGCCTCCTAAGTGTTGGGACATGGGCCCTCAAGTCCAGCTGGCAGAGCGTCTTGTCCCTCCTACCAAGGTCCCACTGGGCACTACATGCTGGGACTAAAGGCATGCTTCACCCACCACCCATGGCTGAGCTTCCTTTCTTTTAGCCTAAGTCACAGCAATACTATGAGCATCTATTTTCCACGTCCCTCAGGGACCCAGAGCGTGCACTGGACACGCGTGACGAGATGGTAGGAGACACACCCAGAGTCTTCAGGGTTGGAACTTTTCTGTCTGGTGACAATGCCTCACTCTGTAGCTCAATTCAGCCTGGTAACCTCGGTCGTCCTGCCTCAGCCTCCCACACGCTGGGACACGGCCCCCAGTCCAGCTAGCAGAGCTTCTTATCCCTTCTACCAAGGGCCTGCTGGACACCATGGACACGGCTGGGGCGTTCTCCGTGGGGTGTCCTGGGCTCTGCCCTGTGTTGGGCACTGTCCCTTGCCTCCATCACTCATGCCAGGTGCTCAAACACATGTGGTAAGCACCCCCACGCACATCTCGGTCAATGACTCTGCAGCTCAGGAGCTCCTGCCAGACAAACGTCAGGTGAGGCCAGGAAGGTGGCTCCGCCCATTCAGGGTTCCCGAGGCTCCAACTCGTGGCATCTGCAGACCCTTTGCCATGACCTAGCAGGCCCTGCCCCTGGCTCACTTTCCAGGACTGACACATGCCTGGCTTCTCTGTGGGAGGGGGAAGCTGAGTTAGGGCTACCCTGTTGACCTGGCACTGTAGTCACAAAGACAGCCTGGGGTGGGAGGCTGCCTGAGCCCAGGATAGCCAGACCAGTCCACTGTCACACAGCGAGGCCTGGTCTCAACAAAAGGTCATCCTCGGCTACATGAGACTCTGCCTAAAAAAAACCCAAAGAATTGTTCTGGACATCGGGAGGCCCTGGGCAATGTCTGGGTACATGTGTGGCTGTCGCAGGAAGGTCACCTGGCCCCTGCAGCTGAGCTGACAGCGGCCACTGGAGACAAACAGTGGGGCGTCCGCGGTCTCCCGGCTGGCCCGCCGCGTACCTTCACTCTGTCTCTCAGGTTCTGGCCGAACACAAAGGCCGCCTGCTCCCTCTTCTCGCAGCTCTCCTCTGAGGTGCTGCTGCATGCTGTTTTTTTTGGCTCCTGTCAGGAAAACAAGCAAAACAGTTACCAGTAGGCTGAGGCAGGTGCTCTGGAGCTTGGGACAGTGGGCACCTGCTCTGCTGGCAGCCCGGATGAACTTCCCTGGGGTCAGAGGTGTGGAGAAAGGCAGAGAACCCAAGCCCCGTCTGTGCACCCTGCAGAGGTGTGGGCATTGCCCCTAGCAAAGAGCATGCACACCCCTTGTGGCTTCAAGGCTTTAACCTGATTTTTGTTTTGAAACAGGGTCTCCCTGTAACCCTGGCATTCACTATGTAGACTAGGCTAGCCTCAATCTCACAGAGATCCTCCTGCCTCTGCCTCCCAAGTACTGACATTCAAGGTGTGCACCACCATGCTAGGCACTGCAATGCTCTCAGAGGCAGACTGACTTGTGGCTCCTTCCTAGTGGAGACAGAACAGAATGGGAGTGTCTCACCCAGCGGGCTCTAAGAGATGCCTCTAAGGTGCTGTTGTCAGAGGGATGAGAGGAGAGTCTGGTACCACCAGAGCCAGAATCAGCCCCAACAGTCACCATCAGTCAAGGGGACAGAAAAAATGTAAATAACAGGTGACAACACAGGCACTGCTACCAAGTGAGGGGGCTCAGTTGCGCCCCCCCATGATCCAGCCACTGAGGTCAGAAGTGCAGGGCACATGGTGAGAGTTCACTAGGGGAGAAACTAAACACACTTCATCCCAGCACTCAGGAGGCAGAGGTGGGAGGATCTCTGTGAGGTCCTGACCAGCCCAGGCTACTAAAAAAAAAACCCCAAACCAAACAGAACACACACATTCCCACAGGGCTCAGTGCTGAGCCATGGTGGAGGGTGTGCTATCCACCCCTAGCATCGCCAAAACAAGCCATCAAATAAATTAACAAGTGGTAGTACTGAACCCAGGCCTGAGTGCACATGTGCCATCAGCTGGGAGCAAGAACAGGGATGCCTTGGCACAGGTCAGCTCCTGCTTTCCGCCTCACAGCTTCCTGCAGGGCCTAAATGTTATTTTCTACAAGTTAAAAAGAAGTTTTAATTATATTTCTCTTTCTGTGTGTATACACATGCGTGAGTCAGACACCAATGTGCACTAAGTTGGTTCTCTCCTTCTACATGTGGGTCCTGGGGATCCAGCTCAGGTCATCAGATCTGGTGGCAAGTGCCTAGGCCCACTGAGCCCTCTTGCCGACCCTGTCTAATGCTCTCCATTTGCACGGGACTCTCCTAGCTGAAGGCTTCCAGGGCTTGCTCTTTCATTTGGTTTGGACGACAGGAATCTGTACATAGCCCCTGCACACAGTAGAAACGTCCAGTAGAGCTTGGGGCATGTGGGATGGAGCAGGGCAGGCTGTCTTGCAGTTCCCAGCACTGCAGCTGCAGCAGCTCACAGGCAACAGGATGGGTGGCACACTGCTGAGTGAACTCTCTGGTTGGCCGTCAAGAGTTTAACTGCCTCCATTTGGCTCCTCATAAACCCAGCTCCCGTTCTGACTTCCTGCCGTGGCCCTGTGCCTATCAGAGCAAGAGTGCCGAGTGTGGCTTTTCGAAGCGAGCACAGCAGGTCTCAGAGGTTGGGGTGTGTGGCTCTGGTCCTCCTGATCTCTGCTGGGTGCTGTCCCTGCTGGGTCCCCAGGCGGCATCAACATTGAGGTGCAAGCCTAGAACATGCACCCCTTAGGAACTCCAGAGTCCTCACATCTGACCCAGGCATGTGTCACTCAGTGGCTCTGCCTCCCAGCCAGAGACCCATCACTAAGCTTTACCCTCATTTCCTGGTGTCTGAGCTTGGGATTCGGATGGGTTGGGCTGCACGGCCTGTCATGAGCCAGGGGTGGCTGAAGATACCAGGAGTCCCGTGCACCCCGTGTGACCAGAGACAGCAGGGTCGGGTGGCTCCAGACAGGGGAGGGAGGCTGCACCTCTGACCCACAGGCTAGGATCAGGACAGTTCCAGGTCAGATTCAATGTCGGGCAGTGACACGGGCAGCCCCAGGCTGAGGGACAGGAGGACAAGCACTGTATGATGGGGCAGGGAGCAAACCAGGTGAAGGTGACTCAGTCAGACCCTCTGCCTGGATGGAGTGAGATACTGGAGTATCAAGGCTGAAACCTGACTCCTGATTCTGCACCCAGCCATCAGAGACATGCACATGAAGCAGGTCATAGGAATGATTCATGCCCCCAGTTAAGAGTAAACGGCCTGGGTGTCTCCAGGTGTAACCTTAGACTCCTGTTCCTTCCCTATAACCTAGGTATGTTTGGGGTGGGATAGACACTTGCCTCTGATGGTGACCCCATGTAGGGCGTGGACCATTGATGAGTTTAAGACAAGTTTAAGAGCTCTGTGGCTAGCCTAGGGCTCTCCATCAAGCCCTCGCCCACAACTGCTGGCACCACAGCCCTCAGTTTGGCAATCCCTAGATAGACCCCAGGGGACCTTTTTGTCTTAAATCAGCTATTCTGGAGTAGATTCCTCCAGGCAGCTATCCAATGGGCAACAGCCCACGTGCAGCTGAGGGTTGGTCTCCGGGCGTGGGGAGGGGTGGGAACTTTGACACTGGACGTAGGACAGCCAGCCCTGGTTCTCAGCACCGAGGAGTGGCTGTGTCTGGAGTCTCAGTCCCTGCAGTGGTGATGTGACAGGCGGGCCTTTTATGGGGGCCTTGTGAAAATGGACAGGGTCACAGAGGAGCCACCTTAGGAGGGACCCCCAGGAGTTTTTATGAGAAAGGCTACTGTCAAAGAGCCTTGCAGGGCTGACTTTTGTCTGGTCAGTGCCTGTCTCTGGAGTGCTCCTGTCCTGATGGGGTGTAGCTGGAGTCCACACCAGGGCTGGTGACATGCTCTTTATAGACTTTCAATTTCTAAAATTATGAGCTGAATAAATTTTTTTTTTTTTTTTTTTTTTTTTTTTTTTTTTTTTTTAAAAAAAAAAAAAAAGAGGACGATAAATCTTTCACTGTGATATATCAAAATAA